CCAAATTTCTTGGCCACTTGGAAGAAATCAAGGATCTGGAAGTAACCAGGTTTTAAAAATTCTTGCTAGTGGAGGTAGCACTTCCATGATGTTGTTTAGTTGTGTGAGGTGACTTAAATTTTTAAGAAGAATCTATGTGGGCTTCCATGTGCTCCCAGTACTTGTCAGCACATGCTTTCCCATTTAACACAATTTCCTTACTGCAGTTAGCAGACAGAACATTTTAGAAGACAGGGATGCTTGGTAAATCAGACAGAATAGTATCTCTTGCAATAACCAAAGAGTGTTAATAACTTTTCCTCTAGACTTCCCCCTCTACAACCACAACTCCAGGAATACCCAGCTTATCTGAGAATTACTTGAAGAAACAGAGAGCAATAACAACATTTTTACAGTCACCAATATGCTACACACAATGGAATAAAACATGGCAAATGGGGTGAACATATGGTGCAGTGGTTAGGACAGTGCTTAGGCTATCTGCATCCCATACTGGAGGGCCTGGGTTCAAGTCCTGTCTCCATTCCTGATTCCAGCTTCCTGCGTATGTGCACCCTGGGAGGCCGTGGATGATGGCTTAAGTACTTGATTCCCTGTCATCCCGGACCGGATGCTGTTTTCTTTCCCTGGTCCTTCCCGGATTTGCTGCCGCTCCCCAGCCTCCGCGGAGGAGCTGACCAATGAGCTGAGCTCTCTGACCGACTCTCTCAGGGGGCCCCACATGTTGTCTCTCTCCCCCTTTTATAGTCCTCTCCCACCAATCCGTGCTCTGCTGCCCGCGCACGCTGCTTTCTTCCAAACAGGGGTTGGGTCAGGAATCAGCTAATTAACGAAGCAGCTGTGTAAGATTTGTTTACTCTCTCAGCGCCATATGGTGGGAGATCAGACGCATAGAGTTAGTTTCAGTCCACAGTCTCAGTACTTATTTGTCTCCCGGGCGCCCTGCCATGTTGCGGGAGACGGACCCTGCTCCCCACACCTCTGGGAGACTTGAACTGAGTTCCTGGCTCCTGGCTTCAGGCTGGTCCAGCCCTGGATGTGGGGATTTGGGAGTCAATCATTAGGTAGAAGATTCTGATCTGTGCATCTAACTTTTAAATAAATTATTATTTTAAAATTTATTTGAAAGGTAGGGTTACATGGAGAATGAGTCAGAGAGACAGAGACAGAGAGAGAGAAAGAGATCTTACATCTGCTGGTTCATGGCTACAATGGTTGGGGCTGGGCTTGAAACTCCATCCTTGTCTCCCACGTGGGTGCAGGGAACTAAGTAGTTGGGCCATCTTCCGCTGCTTTCCCAGGCACGTTAGTAAGGAAGCAATCAGAAGTAGAGCTGCTGGGACTCTAAGAAGTGCCTGTGTGAGATGCCAGCATCGCAGGCTGCAGCTTAACCTGCTGCCCCATAATGCTGGCCCCTCAAACTAAATAAATAAAAACTTAAAACATGGCAGTTGGGCAGAATCGATTACAATGGCAACAACAAAAAGTGAAATACACCTCCAGACCTGTATTGAACTGGCTAAGGAGTGATAACCCGGGTGAAAACTGCAACATTAACTGCTATAACTTTTCAAAGCCTTTTATGTAAGACTACTCAACTGCTCGGACACAGGGATTTGAGATGCTGTGCACAGTTAACGTTGAGATCATGAATGCATCCACGCAGACGGGAAGGAGACAGAGAAGACTGAGAGACTCAGTGGTCACCACTTCTGTGCATCTGCTTCTTCACGGGTTACAGTTGTCCATAAGAAAAATGACAAGCACCTGCATGGTCAGTGTGTCTCTCTCAAAACTTTCTGTGATATTTGGTCCATTGTTAGAAAGGTAATTTCTGCTGTCAAATGTAGCTTTCCAATTTCTTTAAAAAAAAAAAAAAAAAACAACCCTGTCTTTGGAAACCAACATCCTAGAGGTGTGCTGCTGTATACATCTGGCCAGCCCAAGGAAGACTGGGTATGTGCACACGCACACATGTGTCATCACATGTGTGTTAAGTGTCCACAACCACCTGATGCACACACGTGGCTTTTCATATTTACCTGCCCACCCATTTTGTGATCAACATGTCTGGCAATAAAAAAATGCTGGGATACTACCTTCCAAACACAGCAGATCTTTCTGTTCACAGATTTTGTGTTTTTTCTTTGAAGGCCTGGTTCTCAAACTCTGGCTACAGCAGTGGGTGTTTGGCCTAGATGTTTCAGTGCTGCATGGGATGCCTGGGATGGAGGACCAGCTCTGTTCCCAGTTCCGCTCTCTGCTAATGCATGCCCTAGTGGCAGTTGGGTCCCTGCCACCCTTGTGGGAGAACCACGTTGAGCTCCCAGCTTCTGCCATCACAGCATTTGGGGAGTGAAAGAGCAGATGGGAATTCTCTCAGTCTCTATGCCTGTCAAATAAATAAATAAAAATTATTTTTAAAAACCCTTTATTATGTGCCAAAGTCACTTGGAGAGCTTTTACAGACGCACAGTCCTGGTTGTTAGCTACAGAGATTCTGATTTTGTGGGCCGAGGATAGAGGTAAGAATTCTGCATTTTGATCGATTGATTGATTGATTTTCATTTTATTTTGGGAGGCGGGTGGGAGAGAGATAGAGAGATGGGGGGAGAATGAGAGGGAGAGAGGGAGAGAGAGAGGGAGAGAGGGAGAGAGGGAGAGAGGGAGAGAGAGAGGGAGAGAGGGGGAGAGGGAGAGAGAGAGAATGAATCTTCCATTTGCTGATTCACTCCTAAAATGCCTACAACAGGCAGAGCTGGGCTTGGCTGAAGCCAGGAGATAGGAACTTTATTCAGGTTTCCCTGGTGGGTACAGGTGGGACAGGAACCCAAGTACTTGATGCTTCCTGGGGTGTACATTAGCAGGAAAGTGGAATGGAAGCAGAGCCATGACTCCAACCCAGGGACTCCAATATAGGATACAGGCATCCCAAGTGGCATCGTAACTGCTGCCCAAAATGCCTGTCCCAGGAATTCTCCATTTCAAAAGCAGTTTTCTCCACCTTGAGAAGGATTGCGCTGAACTCCCTGGGAACTTTGCTTCCCTATAATAACTGCCTGGAACTTAAACTTTTGGATGACCCACTGGAGGAAAGCCTGGAGATTGTTGTGATACAAACATAGGATTAGTCCTGTGCAGTTCGGCCCATGATGAACAGATGGGGAACTGGCAGTTGCAGGATTTAGGCTCTGTGTGTGTTTAGGCGCTATGGAGCCTTTTGCCATCTGATTCTGCAAGAGGCAGGTCACAGGAGCTGGGCCGAGAATGTGAAGTGCTTTACTACATTGAGCTTGTCTTAGAGGATG